CATCCTTCCCACATCACTGCTTACATCCTTTCCTACATCACTGCTTACATCCATCCTTTCCCACATCACTGCTTACATCTTTCCCACATCACTGCTTACTCCTTCCCACATCACTGCTTACATCCTTTCCCACATCACTGCTTACATCCTTTCCCACATCACTGCTTACATCCTTTCCCACATCACTGCTTACATCCATCCCACATCACTGCTTACATCCATCCTTTCCCACATCACTGCTTACATCCTTCCCACATCACTGCTTACATCTTTCCCACATCACTGCTTACATCCTTCCCACATCACTGCTTGCATCTTTCCCACATCACTGCTTACACCTTCCCACATCACTGCTTACATCTTTCCCACATCACTGCTTACATCCTTTCCCACATCACTGCTTACATCCTTCCCACATCACTGCTTACATCCTTCCCCCTAAGTATACCACTCACCTGCCCACTGTTGGGAGATGTCTTTGCTCCACTCCAGCAGTATTGTGGGGAGGTTGAGCAAGTATTTCCCCTTCTCCATCCTACCTGTTTTTCCCCCTCCCCATCACAGGGTGGCAACAGCCGGTAGTTTTCAATCATCCTTTAGTCTGACTAGACCTCCCTACTACACGGTGTCCTTCTTCTTGGGAACTATTAGTCCCATAACTGGTAGAATGGTTGCCCCTTTTTTTCTAAGATGGAAGAAACTGCAAACAGTATCAAAAAGAGGTCACAGGAAAGCCTGGCACCAGAATCGCCAATATTAAAAATGATTAGATTAATATTCTAAGATACAACCTTACATGTGGATCTCACACACAGAAGGTTATTGAATAAGTGTTACAGTGTGGGTAGACTGGGCCTCTGTTCACTGATCGGGAGAAGTGAAAACTGTTGTAGTTCCTATAGAAAATAATGACATTACCTCCAAAGTATTTCACAACGGAATTACCATATGATCCAGCAGTTATGTATAATATATATTATATGCATGCAAAAGAATTAAAAACAGGATCTTGTAGATATATGAATGCCCCTACTCACAGCTGCATTATTCACAATAGAAAACCATGGGTGCAGCCCAGGTGCCCATCAGTGAGCGGGTCAGCAAACGTGGCAAATAGCAACAATGGAATATTCCACATTCAAAGGACAGAAAACCTGACACAGGCCACAGGGTGAATTTTCACAACATTATGTTAAGTGAAATGAGCCTGTCACAAACAGCATGTGCCGTAGGATTCCGCGGCTGTGGAGTACTCAGAGAGGTCAGATAGAGACAGAAATGGACTAGGGCTACCAAGGCCTCTGGAGGGCAGTGGGGGCCTCTGGAGGGCAGTGGGGCCTGAGGGGGGCTCTGGAGGGCAGTGGGGGCTCTGGAGGGCAATGGGGGCTCTGGAGGGCAGTGGGGGCCTGG